GAAGGAAAAGGAGAAGGAGAAGGAGGAGAAGGAGAAGGAGAAGGAGAAGGAGAAGGAGAAAAAGAAGAAGAAGAAGGAGGAGCAGCTTTCCAAAAGCCACCTGCCTAGTCGTGTGTTCAGTTTCTCTGTTGCTGCAAGAAATGTTGTTCTCTTTTTTGTGTACTAGTGTTAAGCCGAAGTATCGTACTGTGACCTTTTGAAGGGACCCAGGCAAAACCGAAACAACGCGCCCATGGACTCTGCAAAGGGTTTGGGCGCAAACCCCCCCCCCCAAAAAAAAAGAAACTTGAGAGGGGTGGTCATGCATCGATCCTACTAGAGATTGGCAAGTCTAAATATTTGCATGGAAAGCTAAGGTTCGATCAGTAGGCCTCAATGAAAGAAATCTACAACGTGCCAAAATCGTGAATTTCTCCATTAGAACATTTTGCAATGCCAGTAAAGGAGTAAAATAAATGTTATTGTAATATTTCGGACAGAACAGTGGACATTGGCGTGGTAAGATAACCTTCTTTTCATGGGTGATCTCCAGTGATCACTTTCTAGTATCACTTTTGGTGACATTCTGATTAATATGGACACTTCCTTATTGCGTTTATTAATGATCGACATGTTTGTGGTGCACTCGTTCTGTTTGCCTCTCCCGGGCAGTCGCTGTTTAACTAGGACTTTCTCTTTCTCTTTCGCCCTCTAACCAATCAATTCAGTCTGGCCCCTGTACGGGCGGGTACTAAAATCAATTTGTCGTTTTAATTACGTGGAGAGGGAAAACACTTATTTTTTATATTGACCGCGAACACTCGTTAAAACAAAATTAATTGAAGTGGTCTTTACACCCCCATCGACACAATTTAGATAAGACGTGTTTCGACCCTACCTGTCAGAGTGAACCAGGGCCGAGAGAGAGAGAGAGAGAGAGAGAGAGAGAGAGAGAGAGAGAGAGAGAGAGAATATGTCTTGCATCGGGAACAAAAACTGCATTTCAAAATCAAGAAAAAAGATAAGAACTCGGAACATTTTTTTTAAATGAAAAAAGACAGTTTAAAACAACAACCAAAAAAGTAAAAAAAATAGAGCGACAGCTTTCTGTGAAGGTAAGGGCAATAGCGTACTACGAAACAAGGGCGGCTACCCTAAATTCACGCTGAAGGGAGGTAATTGATGGGATGCCCGGAAGGTCAAACGGGGTTAATGACAAGCGTCTGGCATCGATATCAATGACGCTGTAACAATCGATACTATAATCACTTTGAACCCGATCTAGGGGCTTTAGAGCTTTCTTCACGGCCCCCTTCCTTCCGGCCCAGGATCGGATACAAGGCAATTGAGGACGGCGATTTCTCCTAGTTTTCTGCGCCGTGTTTGTGTTGTAATTGTAAGGACATTGAGAGGAAGAATTTTTCTTTCTTGTGCGTCTTACGTAATGATTTGAAGTTTTGTTATCCCCCCTCCCCCCCAACCTTAAGCTTGTGCCATTGTTTTGTTTTGATTAGTTCTGTACTTTTAGAGAGCATTCAGGGCCTCTAGCTGTGTCTGAGCCCACCACTTTCAGTGTAAAACAGAAAGTCAACGTTAATTTTGTGAGTTCAGCGTCTTTCTCAATATTTCATTATCATTGCCGTCGTCGTCGTCCTCCTCCTCCTCCTCCTTCTCCCCTCCTCGCCCTCGGCCTTCTCCATCTCTTCTTCTTCTTCGCCATCCTCCTCCTCCTCCTCTTCCTCCTCTTCTTCTTCCTCATGTTCCTTTTCCT